TTTGATGATTGCTGTAGCATGTCAAACTGTTCCAATATTTTTATGTTTTTGTTCTTATCTGTGTTCAGTGGTCCTTGTGGTTACTCTTGCCACTATTTGGGGGAGCCACAAATCATACCTACAATAGTTGACAACCTTAGTTACTAAATATAGGTTCAAACAGCTCTAGCAACCGGACATTATCCTTCCTCTCCCATTTCCCAGGTTTTCCTATGTCCATGAAATACAATGTTGGAAACTAGGCCAATCATGAATGAGTACACAACAGTCTCTAGCATGTTCTTCAATTTAATAAAGAAGCTACACATGATTAAGCTCAGTGAAGGTGTGTCAAAGGCAGAGCTAAGGTGATTTTTTTTTTTACAAAAAGCTTCCTGTGCCAGTTAGCTAAACTGTGGATGCAAAGCCCAGAACAACCTTGTTAAAAGTGCTCCTTCAGTGAACACACACATAAGAAAGCAAAACATTCTTACTGCTGATACAGAAAAGGTTTCGGAGCTCTCAATAGAAGATCAAAGAAGCGACAATACACCTTTAAGCTAAATCCAAATCTAGAAAAAAGACATAATTCTTTTCTAATATATGATAACAGAGAAAGTTGAGGAAGCTACAGAAGAGCAGTTTGAAAGCAGAGACTTATTCATGAGGTTTAAGAACAGAGACCAGTTCCTTGTTATACAAGTGTAAGATGGAAGCAACAAATGTTGATATATAGGTGTACCAAGTTATGTCTATGAGAATACATGAAGGTGGGTATACTAAATATCTGATTTTCAAAGTGGGTGAAAGAGCCTGTATTGGTAGAAGATGTTATCTCGGAATTTCATAGGTAGAGAGAAGAAACCAATGCCAGATTGCAAACTATCCAAGGACAGGCTGCCTGCCTTGTTTTAATGCAGTTGGTTACTATAAGTTGATGCCAGTTTCACTTAGCATTCTGAAAATCCTCATCTTGTAAGAATTATACCAAATCTACTACTCTGCTTTTGTCCTATAAATGGAACAATAAAGAAATGACAGCATATCTCTTTGCAAAGTGGTTTACTAAATATTTTAAGCCCACAATTGAGAATTGTTGCTCTCATGCCCATATATGTACAGAAATATTTCTTCCAAAGTATTAATATTAGTTTCCAATGCTCCCAGGAGCACTGATGGAGCTATATAGTGAGGTTAATGTTGTTTTCTGACTATGAATACATATCCATTGTGCTGTCCCTGAATCAAGGAGAGATTTGGCTTTCAAGTCTTTTTATTTATTTATTTATTTATTTATTTATTTATTTATTTTTAGTATTTAGTTCATGGTCTCACTATGTAGATTGGACTCATAGTGATTCTCCTGTTTTCAGCTTCCCAAGCGCTGGAATTATAGGCGTGTGCCACCACATCCAGTCTCAATTGCCTTCTCAGCACACCCTGGGAGCAGGGCCGACACAACATGGCAGGGATTGAACCCCGAGTGCTGCACTCTGACTCAGCAGGTGCTTTAGTGCACTCAAATCTTATTATTTAAGAAGTACATTTTATGAGGGTATTCCTGCCAAAGGTAGCCGTTATTGCCCTGATTGGTACACAGCCATCAACTTCAAGGCAGAACCCTATGCCAGCAGTAAAATGGTTATGCTAGCTCATTGAAGGCTCAGCTGGCCATTAGCAATTTTCAGCAATAAAGTAAATTTTAATTAAGATATGTGCAACTTTTTGGACATATTCCTATTACACATTCAATTGACTATACTATAGTGTAAATACAACTTTTATATGAACTGGGAAATCAACGTATTTCTGTAACTTGCTGTATTACAATATCCACTTTATTGCAGTAGTCTGGAGCCCACGCTGGACTATCTCCAAGGTATGCTGTTAACTAATTTTAAAATGTGAGTGATATTGAATCAAATAAAAAGTTAATATAACATTGAGTTAATATGTTCTTAGGAATGAATGAAAGAATAAAACTAATCTTTTATGACTAGAGAGCAGAATTACCTCTAAATAAAATAAAATCTGAACTTTTCTGTCAATATTACAATAAAATTATAATCATTCAAAATATTTTAGAACATTTTATCATATTAATAGTGATTGCTTTGAATTATACTGATATTTAGTTCAAATCTATATGGGTCCAAAGTAATCCAATTATAGTTAAATGAATGAACAATGGATTGAATTAGAAACAGAGTAATTCAACTACAATATTAAGAAAACAGAAGTACGAATTGTCTGTGTAGACTGGTCACTTCAGCCAGCCTAGTGCCCAGAGTGCATTCTTAACTCTGCAGTTCAGTCTGCTGCTTGGCACTCAGATGTGATAAGCCATGAATAGTGAGCATGACAAAAGCAATGGCCGCTCCAATCTGTCACTGTTCCCATCACATAAGACAGTTTAAACCATCTCAACTCTCTTACTTAGGGTTTTCCTATTGACATTTCAGAAAATCTGTTAGAAGAATTTACTACTGATTTACTCCACAAAATGTGTAATTCCTTGAATGTGAAATAACTTAGTCAATCCACATAAAGCATTAGTGACTATGGAAAAACATAACCCTTTCAAGAGAGTTAATTCAAATTCCCCTTCAAGTTGTCTTAAATGCTAATAACACAATGAGTTTCTATTTTGTAACAGTGTCTTTCCTAAAGAGAATAGAAAATAAGCTATATCATATGTGATCTATTATTTCTTCAAACTGGTGCTTTTATAATGTGAAAATTGCTAAGGAAAAGGTTAGCATGATTTTAAAGGAAGAGAAACATTAGCAACTCATTAAAACATGAGGATTCACCATTCACTCATTCCACAATCTTGGACTTAGTTTAGATCTATATATTAGATCGACATCAACTACAAAGTCAAACACAGATGAGTAAAAGAAATGGAGTCAATATCTTATGGGATAGAAGTCACATCTTCGACTGGCTTGAACCACTGGTTATGCATACGTAAGTGTCCCAGCAGGCAGCTCGTACCACTGGTGGTAGAAGTGGTACAGTGGTGCATGTGACACTTATCCAATATGGATCATGCCCCATTGTGAATATTATTAACTCAGAACAATAACTTGTATAACTCTTTGCGTGTGTGTGTGTGTGTGTGTGTGTGTGTGTATGTGTGTGTGTTTGCAATGTATCTCTGCTCATAATCCTTTCAAGGAATATATTAACGAAATATGTTTGAATTCACAGCACTCTGATAAACATTCTTCTTAGATTAACTTTTTAAAAAATATTCAGTTTCTGTTAAGGAAAATATTTCGAAGTCACAACAATAATTGCTTGTTTTTAGTGAAATTAATAATGTGGTTTTATATAAATCCTCATGGATTATAATTCAAAAGTGCTTTACAAAGTGAACAAATAAAGGTAAATGATAGTTTGTTATTTATATTTCTAGGTCTTTCACAACTTTCTACCTCAATTTTGATATTTTATTAGTGCATCATTCCTTAATGACACTTGAAAATGGACATTTCTACCATCTTATAATAATCAATATAGTCTCAGTTTCCATGTGAATTATTTTAGCTTCTCATCTGACTCAACATATGTATTATTAAAGATATGTTAATATAAGTATTTAAAATGTTCATGGATATAATGATCGTCTAAGTAAATACATGCATATGTTAGAAATAAATGCTACATTTGCACCTGCTACTACAGGCAGATATAATATAACTGTGTTGTTAATAGTTACAACAGCTTTCATTCAGTATCTTCGTGACTAATCGAGGATGAATATGTGAAAAAAGACATGGTTTTAAAGATGTCTTTATGTAAAGCACTGGGAAAGTTTCAATTGAATGACTAATTTGCTTTTAGAATAACCCTCTACACAGCCAAAGTAGTGTAATAACTGCACATAGTTAAGCATGCAGGGACAGGATACAGTATCTATATATTTTTCATTTCTTTCTTTTTAAAATGTACTTGGTACAGGGTCTCACTACACAGCTCAGACTCATAGTGATCCTCCTGTTTTCAGCCTCCCCACCTCTGGGATTACAGGCATACACCACCATGCCCAAATTTGGTCATTGGCACAGTGCGCCTCGGGGCTGGGGGAGCATAGCATGTGGGACCGGGTTCGTTGCCTGGTCCCTGAGCTTGTGAAAGCAGGTGCTTGGTTGGCTGAGCTATCTTGCCAGCCTCCAGTATCTACACTTTAATGAGCAATCCACAGCAATCAATTAAGAACTCAATGTGCTATTTTGTGATTCACATGAGTCAAAGTAAACCCTATTAATGAGACTGAGAGAAAAAGCAGACACTAGATACATAGATGATACAGCAGCAGTCATTGGAAGAAAAGACTTATTAGAGAACATTCAGCAAACTTCTGACTACTTAGGGATTATTTAGTTCAGTCTCAAGGATTTGTCAGAGAAAAGAAAGGGAGATAAAAGCTGGCAAAAAGTCACTTTATTTGTCATAATATTTATCACACCTTCTTGTAATTATTTGTGTGGCTGTATTCACCCAGAAATCTAACAGGCTGGGCTCTGTGTCAATCTCAGGCAATCTGCATCCCCTGTGCTTAGCACTATCCTTCACAGAAATGAGTGTACTAATGGATACATAGATGATGGTTCAACAGTAATTTAGGAAAGATTCTTACCTTCCTAATGCTCACTTTCATATTTTGAAAATGGGGATAATAACTTTCTCTTTTACTGTTATAAATCAGAGGAAAATGAAATACCCAATGGATATTATTAGCAATGCATTTTTTGCATAAAGCAGGATGTACTGAACATTAATGCATTCAGTGAAAGAAAGTGAATGAATTAAGCTAAAGTATGCATTTCTTTCCCAAGGACTTCAATGGCAGACATGGCTTGGCATGTCTTCATCCAATAATGCCTTAGCAAGAAGGCACAGATACAGAACATATAATAAGTACAAAAACATTGTGTAATGAAAAAATTGGTGTTTGATCTATTTAAGACAATGTCACTCTGAAGAGGAGAAGAAGACGAAGAGCGCAAAAATACCTGAGAGAATGCGGACTTCTGCTTCATTTCCTACCCTTGAGCTGGCTGGATTTCGAGCAGAGCATCGATAGATCCCAATGTCCCCTGGTTGAAGTCGGCTGATCTGCAGTGCTCCTGAGGGCAACACCACCACGCGGGAGTCTCCTGGGACCAGGTTAAGGTCTTGTTGATTTTTCTGCCAGTGTATTGTTGGCATGGGCTCCCCTATGACTTCACATTTAAGCAACAAGGTGTCTCCCATGAAGGCTGTCACAGACTCTGTTTGAGAAAGAAACCTCAGTGGTCCTAGGAAAACAGCAAAAAGAGAAAGGAGGATAAGTGTTTCAGATGAGGCACCTTAGTCACCAATATAAACAATCACACATTACATTCTTCACAAGAGACTGTATTTTACAAGATATGTTCTCAAATCCCATATCATTGCCTTTACACTGTAGCATACCACCTGTCAGGCACTGTGATTGGGATCTGTGACTAAAACAATGGCATTTTGCTTTATGCCAAGAAGCTTAGTATTTTGTTAGTATTGGTTAATAAATCAGCCATGTAAAGTAAACAGAGCAGATACATTCTAATTTTTCACAAGTGGAAATTGAGTCTCAGAGAAGTCAAATTCCACACACAAATTAACTCAGTTAGTATGCTGTAGTGCTCCAAATAAGACCTTGGTCTTCTGAATTCAGATTCTGTGCCCTTCCAGTTTTCCAACTTTAGACAAAGGTCTCAGGTCACAGGGATTCATTAAGGATAAGATGTGACATAACCTATGGCAGTTTCAAGAAAGATGAATATTAACTGCCAATCAAAATAACAAAGAACAATCTTTAATGGGTTGACTGCTTAAGGCCAATGATCATTAACATTTGCCAAGCAGAGTGTGCTGAAAAAGTGTTAAGGTTGAAATTAAGTAGCTTGTGGTTGGATGAATCTTTTAACAATGTATTTCATTTCTTGGGCTATAAAATAGGATAACAGATAATTTGCATGACCACAAAGATGCTCATATGAAACAACATGTGAAAATGATGTATTTGCATTGTACATCTGAATAAGGAAGTGAAGGAAAAATTATATATATAAAAAACCTGACCTTCACTAAATCTAAGCATGATGACTACAGGAATTTCTCCATCATGATGTCTTACAGGGAAAGCTGACAAGATATTTTGATCTTGTTCTTTGACACTTTATAAATAAGTTGATATCTATGATCCTAATCATCTGAACATGAAAATGTTTAGAGATTTTTAGTGACAACAAAGAACTTTTATGAATTATGTCATCATTGATAAATAATTAGTAATTTTTTTTCTAACACTAATGGATTCAATAAATGTACTTTCTATATTTTTGTTAGTATAGGTTTGTTAGACAAACAATTACATTCATTACATGAATTACATTCACCTTTGGGATTTTGGTTCTATTTATCACACTTGTATTCTGATATTTCCAATTTCATTTCAAATTTCCTGAAATAGTTTAAATTTGATGTACATTTTACAATAAAATTTGTTCTACTCATCACTTTGCAGTTTATATCAAGTCTTTATTAGCATAGTTCATGTTATTGTAATATTTATTTTATATATCCTAATTAAGCCCAAATTTCCCAGCTCTAGGTACAAGTTTTGTCAAAAAGTGTTGAGTTTTTACATCATTCTTTAGTCAGTAGCAGATCCTATTTTGTTCTGTTTTAAATACTGCTAGTTTTAACTTTAGTGTTTTAATTCTCACAAATCTAATTTTCCTTATAAACTGATAAAAAATTAGCTAAAGACAGAGAACAAAGATGTAATGGCCTGGGGCAATTATTATAATCCAATATCAGAGACAATAAATTGTCTAGTCTCGTTTCCTAGATAAAGGTAGAATTTCATGTTCTATTCAAAGATTAGTCTTTAAGCTAAAAGATAATTGAATCTTTACAATATAAATTACACTAAGTTCATCTATAGAATGGGTACAAGTTGCTGAAGTGTAACCTTATTATAGCTTTATCTGTATAAATAGATGAGATCAGAGAGAGGGAATATGATATTTTTAAGGATGACTAACATTAGATGATATACCATATTAATGGTGATAAAAATATTAAATTTATCCATTAAATGTTATCATATATATATATATATATATATATAGTCATCTGATTCCTAAGCTAAGGCTCTGGAATTTGGATTCATAGAGCTATGTGCATCAACACTACAGATATATCTACAGAGGGCGCCAACCACTTACCTAATTCCATTTTTTTTGAGTTATCAAGAAAACTAAGCTAATCTTTTACTGTGCTGGACCTACCACTGAGTGAAAAACAAAAGGAGTCAGCTGACTTGGACCTGTGCTTAGTGTTTAAAGTCTAATTTCCAAACTGTTCATAGTGTATGCTTTTGAATGTATTCAAAAGAAGACTACTTTACATTAATCTGCACTGATTAACTTCACTATAGGTATAAATATGTACTTAAACAGAGTATGGTTTACACAAATGAATACTACAATGAGCAGTGGTATATGTTTTGCATCTTATTTTGGACAACAAAGTTCAAACAAATTTCTGACATTTTATTCATATAGTTTTCTTTTTCATTCTCATTCATAATTTTTCAAGTTTGTAGTTAAACAGTAATAATTTCCCCAAAGAAGCAAGTTTTGTATTTTAGAAATCTGAGATAAGATAAAATACTTTTGGTGGTTTGATAAAAATATCTGGATACTTTTATACATTCTGATATATGATTCTTTGTAAGATACACCATTCAATAAATTTAATTACAGCGTGTATTGTACATTTGAATGTCTCTGGCATTCTAAGAGTGAACTTGAAAGTAAGCTCAAGAGCATAAAGTGAAATATATAATTGAAGCATATTTCAAATTGATATTCAACAATTGTTTCCCTACATAAACATTATCTGGCAAGGAGAATCCCACACAGGCCTGAGCTCGCATAGTGATGCAATTAGACTTAATGGAATCGGCTCCTTCCCGCATCCTTATTCAGTAAGTACTCTGTGTTAATTTCAAATCTTAATAAAGAGGGGTCAAGGTTTCATTCTATTTAACAGTGAACAATGCAGTGTTGAGAACTTTAAAAAGGTTAATTTTTTTTTTGTCACACTGTTAAATTGTAAAAGCAATTAGTAGCCTTTTTACTTTTTGTCCAATAACCATCTTGAAAGTGCATGATACAGGCCCTCAGTGGAGCATTATATTTTCAAGACATGAGTATGTGCATTCTATGATGAGCATTAAGTTCACTGTCATTCATAAGAATATAGTGTTTTTCAAGCATCATTTAATGCTCTAACTGAGTACAAATGACTCTTGTGCCTCATCCAGGTATGACTTTAATTAGATTCTCATAAAAACTGGTTATCTGCCCAGCAAGAGCCTAGTTGAAGCTACCAGATCACGTGTGATCTATTCAGCCACAGCATTTCCTCCCTCTTTCCTTGCCTTGTTCACTTGCATTCTAAACATGGTCGGAATATCAGTGACCCCAAATTCTCCTAAGTTTATTTCACTTGAGAAACTCTGATGTTCCTCAAATTTCTGGTAATTTTGTATTACTCAAAAGCTAGGCAAAGGATTTATTTAATTATATAACCAGGAATCCAGCACAGGAAGCTTATCATCCATATTTTGAAATCAATTTTCACATGTATTAAAAGTTTTGAAGCATAACGGGGTTTCGTTTGGATCTTATTTTACATAATATTTCCTTTAAAAGAAAAGCCCTGTTTCCTAACATCTGCCTATCAGTTATATAGTCATCCTTAAGGTCCAGAGACAAAATGCCCACCTTTTTTCTTCTCTAACTGAAAATCACTTTAAAATCTTTAAAGTAGTATAGCACTTATAATTTACAGGTACCAAACCAGAAATTAGTCTATAAATAATTGCCTGAAATACGTTTCCATGTTTGTAATATATTTTCTGCATTTCACTTCCACAGGGTATATCAAGGATTTACTGACAGGGAAAAACAGCATTTAAATATTTTCCAAGGATCTAAACATTTTGCAGACACCCACACCTTGAAATCTGGCTCTGAGTTTCAACTCTATCACTTTCCTACACTCTGGCAGTTTGGGTTGGTAAGTAATAACCCCCAGTGAGTCATTTTGTCCCTCCCCTTTTCACCATATTGGTGATTTTCAGCAAGATCTAGTTTTAGAGCTTGCACTGCTCTAACCACCTGTAGAAATGGCCTCATTTAAATATTTCTTTTCTGTTTACAATGTTAAGGATTGAACTCAGTGCTTTGCTCATGCTTGTAATTGTTCAGTAACTAAGCTAATACCCGAGCCTATGACAGTTCTTTAAATAGCTCTATTATTTCCATATTACATATGGAAGAGATAGCAGAGCAAGTGAGAGTACTTAATCTTTAAAAAAAGAAAAGGATTTAGGAGTGAATTATATTTTTTAAAAAATACCTTACTTCCTCAACCGAAGTAAAAGATGGATCTCTTTCATTTTTTTTCAACAAATAATACACTGCATATATTCTTCTTAGTGGTTAATTGCTGTACAAGATGCGGACTTGTGATCCTATTTACAAACACCATTAGAACAAATCATTCTATTCATTAACAGAATGTAACTATATATCTATCCCAACCACTTTGAATACACAGATACAAAATGGATCTCTTTCAAATGTCACTACTCTCTGATACAGAACTTCCCAGAATCAGCACAGAACTGAGTAAACTATATTGTTTGGTGAACACTGTCAGTTCTCAGGTATATTCATGGTTTCCACAAATAATGCAAAAGCAACCAGCTGTGGACCAAAAACATATATCTATATCTATATTTGTGTATACTTTTGTGTCTATACTAACAATTTGAGTTTGAAGCTACTTATAATGCATTTACATTTACATTATAGTAAGTATTATAAGCCAACTAGAGATAATTTAGTATCTCCAGGAAGATATATCTAGACTCAATGGAAATATTATGCTGTTTTACATAAGGATTTGAACATCTGCTGATTTTATATCTTCAGGGCTGTTCTGAACCTCATCTCCTATAGATATTGCAGAATAACAATTTATTATGGTCTAAGTAGAATTTTTATGTACAAATTTCAGCCAGAACCACAACGCAACCAAAAAGATCACAAAGCCTGTATTTAGTGCTGTCAGGAGGCTTCCCTATTTAGCCTTGGGAAATGCGGTTTCCAAGAATGAACTGTAGTCCAAGCACTTTCGTATCTTGCCTGGACCAGGATGCTACGGCAGCCTTTTAAATCCCGGAACACCTGGACTG